TGACAGCAACCAAGGCAACACGGGGATAGCCACGTGGTTTCAGAATGCTGGAGCATTCATGACACTTACGATAACAATTATTTACTGGATTCTCAAAGGGCCTAAGTTTTTGGTACATACATAGGATAAAGAGGTAATGTTGCCCCGTCAGCATGACTCAGCGGTTGAGCAATGACCTCAGAACCAGGAGGTCATGGTGTGATTCCTGGTTGGGGCATACACCCAGGTTGTGGGCTGGATCCCCAGTGCACAGGAGATAGCTGATCAATGATCCTTTCTCATCATTGATGTTTCTATCTCTCTCCCTCTCCCTTCCTCTCTTAAATCAATATATATTTTAAAAGAGGTAGTGTTTAAAATGTATGGATAAGCTACTCATCATTTAATTCTCTTCTTTGCTTCTCTCTGTCTCTCTCTGCCTCTCTACACTCTTCATTGTAGTTTAGGCATCCCACCCCCAATGCTAATTTTCTACCTTGAGCTTTGTCCTCAATTTCTTCTGGTACAATGTAATCTCCATAGTAGAAACAGGGAAGAAAAAAAAGAAAGAGTAACTGGACAATTCCCATGATCTAGATTACAGAAAGAACTTCAGACCTGCTTGGCAGGAGGTGGTGGAGTGTGCTGGAGGGACATTGACCTTGGAGTCACATGGCCAGGGTTTGAGACCCCGATCTGCTACTTACTCCCAGGAGGCCCTGACGGGTCTCTTGCTCTCCAGGAGCTGCAGCTCCTAATTTGCAAAAATGGAGATAACAGTCATTGCCCTGTGGGCTCCCAGGGCTTGTTGTGAAGATCAAAAGGGACGATACTGTGACCAGTGCTGTAAAGTACTAAATAAACGCCTGGGATTCATGTTATCCCTGTTATAACATATCTCTTCGCTTGTCACATGGAAGACCGTCATCCCTCCCGGGAATCGTCCCCATCACTGTCCACTCCACATCACCTGGACAGTCTTTGCCACAGTCCTCACCCGTCTCTGTTTCAGGGGCTGTCTGATCACTGCCTTCGTGTGCCATTTCACTTGCTGTAGTCACCGGTTCTTCGGTTCACTTACAAACATTGACTGAATGTCTAGTAAGCCTCACACAGTGCTGTGTGCTGGGGACAGACATAAATCCATGGTTCCTGCTGTTCTCTAGGAATAAGCTCAGAAAACTCACTCACTCTCATGCTAGTAAATTCATGATGGGTCTCAAATACCCGCTGCTGGCCTTGAGTTGCACCTGTTCCTTAGTTCTGTAATAGCTGCATGATGTTTATGTTTTCCTTGCCTCTAAACTTAGCAAGCCTCATGCTTTCCTTTCCTAGAATCACAGGATCCTAGCTCCACAGTTTTAAGTGATCGTCATTTCCCCATCCAAAATGCAGGTGGTGATCTCTTCATTTTTCTTATTTCAAGGCGTTAACATTCATTCTCTCAGTCTTTCTCGGACAATATCTCTTGGAGGCACTGTCTTCCTTTCTACAGGTAGATCCACGGCCCATGCTTGGCACAATTTTGGGTGATGGGAGTAGCTCATTGCCTGTCCTTGGGCCTTCAGCTTCTCTCTGCTTTACCGCATCCCATACCGGGCTGGCAGCCTGATTCTCCTACCCCGACCCATCCGATTGTCCAGCAATACTGTCCCCTGGCTAGGATTTCCTCCGCACCTGAGTATACATTCCAGCTCCCACTAACATACCCCCCACATGCTGCCTTGAGATGATCCCTCGGTGGCCAAGATGTGCCTTGGGTACCAGTGATAATATTTTAATGAATGCAGCTCCTCTCCAAGAAAAGGACTTGGAAATTAATTCCCATCAGATACATGGCAAAGGCCACCTTATAAAGCAGTGAGGACAGGCTGTGAGGTCAGTGGCAGAGCATCTCTTAGTCCGCCCCATCTCAGGAGCAGGAGCGATGAAGCCAGGGCGCTGAGGGGCTGTTCCCCTTCTCTTCCGGCACTTGGTTGGCAGAGGTGATGAGATACTAACATCCTCTAATGGACAGATGACAAATAAACACTTTTTTTTCTAAACAGACAAGTTGCAGCTCAGGAAAGTTTTCCGTTTTCCTCATTGCAAAATCAATACCCATCAGCAGTTTGAAATTAAAGGCCAGATTAGGCCTCAGTTTTATACATGCCTTATTGTATTCCAAAAGCTTTCTACGCAGTCAGATAAATCTTCTTTAAGAGGATTAGGAAACTTTCATTATCTTTATCTCACCTGAACTAACACTAAGTCTGAAAAATTAATCTATGGACTGGATGAGAGCTGAAAGCTGCTGGAAGGAGGGGGACTCCGGGCGCCTTTCTAATTGAGCCGCGGGGTCATGGCTTCCACCCACTGGAAAGTCACCTGGTCTCTGAGGGAGGAACAAGCCGCCCATTGCTCACCAGGATGGGAGCAAATATTGCTCTGAGCTCCTCCTTTTAACCTCTTAGGAAGTATAAAGACCATTTGCTAAATGTTCTAGAAGCTTCTCTCCCCCCTTTCCGCTCTCCTGGTCTTCTGAATGGAAGTGCACAGGCCCCCTGAGACGACCAGAGTTGTGAGAGGTGCCTGGCCTGAATGTGGAGACTGCAGGAACGGAACCCCGGAGTTGAAACTCTGCTGCCTGCATCACGCCTGTTCTCACATCCAATGCTCTGAGGCCCATGGCAAGCACCACTGGCTTCTCTGTCCAGCCCAAGACATAGCTCCCAGGGCCTTGGAAAGAACATCACCTCCCCCCCCCCCACCCCCGCGCCCTGTTCTACACTGCGAGCCCTTTAAGGCCTGCGTTGACTTTGGCATGTTACACAATCTGTCCTAGTTCCTGCAAAGTGAGAGCCGTGTTCCTTTGAGTCTGTCTCTGTGCACTGCCTGACAGTTCCTTTTAAACTCCAGTGTCTCATTTTCTGGATTTTAAGATAACTTTGCTGTCAAAGCCTCGAGAACACCACGGAGGTGTGGACTTCCACGCCCAGAATTCCAGCTCCTCCGGAAACAAGGCCAGGTGCTGGGTGGGTAGGAAAACTCAATCTCCCCAAAAACGTTTGACAGGCATCCCAGCTCATCCCAGTGCCTCGCCGTCCTCTGAGGAGAAGCAGCGGGTATGACATTGGCTTCATCTCCAGATGGAAGCCGCCGTGTAACTGCCAAGCAGTGACCATCCCAAGCCCTGCCCCAGGCGGGACATGTTGGAGAAGGGAAAGAGTATACAATCATCTGCCCCATGGCAGGCTGGAGTGGGTGTCTGAAAGCCTCGAAGAGAAGGCCACGGAGGCCGAGCTGAGGCCAGGCTTCAGGCAGCAGGGCAGCACTGGGGCTGCTGGAGCAGAAACTGCAGGGGCAGACCCCTGGCCCAGCACAGGCCTTAGAAATGGCTCAGTCAGAGGCCTGGAGGCTGTGCCAGCAAAGAGCCGCTCTGGCGTAAAAGCTGGCCATCCTGAATGGCATGAGTGGCCGTAGCAGGAAGACACGCTAACTCCTACTCATGCTCCCCAAGAAACCACATGAAATGAGAAAAATTATATATTTTGGGAAGACAAGAGCAAGAGACTCCATATTAGCTAAGCAAGGAGGCCATACACATTTCATACACTGACAAATCCTTTGAATCTACTGCAGATGGAATGTGGTAAAAGGCAGTTACTAAAGATTAAATCCTACACAGGGACTTCTCTTCTTCTTTTTTAAAAATATATTTGTATTGATTTTAGAGAGGAAGGGAGGGGGAGAGAGAGAGAGAGAAACATCAATGATGAGAGAGAATCATTGATCGGCTGCCTCTTGCACACCCCCTACTGGAGATCGAGCCAGCAACCTGGTCATGTATCCTAACGGAATCAAACCATGACCTCCTGGTTCATAGGTCCACGCTCTACCACTGAGCAACACCAGCCGGGCACACAGGAACTCCTTCTGAGAGCTCAGTTCATGGTTCCAAGTCCCCATGCAGGAGGCTCTGAGGGAGGCCCACCCCAATCCCTCACTGGGTGGAGGAAGGGAGGAAGGATGTGCCATCGGAGGATAAAGCGAGCTGAGCACTTCTGGGTGCCCTGAGCCAATACCTGACAGGAACTGCTTTGCGTAGTAATGAGGCAGGGAGTGCAGTCAGTACGGCGCAGTTAAAAATAACTTTCTTCGTGCTGTTGTCTTGTTTTAAACGGCTCTCACATTCTCCTAACTGCTATCTGGATGTATTTTTAATTTTTGATAATTAATAATTGATATCTAAGATTCTGACATTCCTACAGCCCTATTTTTTCCCCTACAAAGTGAAATTTGAATAAAAATTTATGAAATACTATGCCTGGGTTTTACCAATCCTGATTTTTTAAGGGAGAATAAGAGAGAAATTTAGGGATTTAGTGCCCCCTTTTAATTATGTAGATTTATTTCCAACACAGGCCTGGAAATATAATTTTGACTAATCCCTCTCTTGACCTCGGCTGCACTGTGGGGCTAAGAGAGAGACGTTGGCTCAGCAAGGATGCAGGGAGAACCGGACGAAGCAGCACACAGAACCCCTCCTGGAATGTGCAGGACCGTCACCCACACAAAAGCAGTCCCAAGTCACATGATTTCACATCACTAGCATTAATCTTTTATAACAAAAGCAGCCTATCAAAGATATTCAAAGACAGATCTCTACACAGTCGCCATCATTATTTAATTATAGTTATGTCTATAAGCACAGGAAGTGGATATTGTATCCATTTTTTTAAGTCTACCAGGTCCCAACTCCAGAGTACTAAGTAACTTAAGAGCTCAACCAGCACATGCCACACAACTTATTGAAAAGAAGTGAAGGATCAGAGATAAAATTGAGAAACTGTGAACATGTTCAGGGCTCAGTCAAGAACCTAGCAGGTGAGAAGGAATCCCGGGCCGATACTCAACCTCTGGATTCTGTAGAGGAAAATGACTTTTTCTGTCTTCATACATGAGTAGAAGCAAATGCTGAGATGGTCCTTCCCCTCCATCATTGGCAGCGACCCCAACCCACAAATCTAGCTGTAACTCACCTTGTACGATGAGGTGGACCCGCGAGGTCTTGGGGTGGTTGTCTGTCTGCACAGAGCAGGTGTATGGGCCTTCGTCATACACATCCACATTCTGGATCATGATGCTGTACTGGGTTGGTGTGTTGACCAGGATGACCACACGAGGGTCTATGGACCACTTGTCATTCCCAGCGTAGAGGATGGTGCTGCGGTTTAGCCAGGCCACCCGAGTGACTCGGTCGTCTATGGTACACCTGTGGGGTGGGGTGGGAAGGAGGAGAAAGGCAGAGGGAAGATGAAAGGGGAATATCAAGGAAGGGAGAAAGGAAGAAAGAAGAGGGGAGAACAGGAGTAAGAGAGTGCTGAGCGATTACATTATAAATATGCTGGTTGTGCTTCAAGGAATAAATAAAATAACATAACCTAGTGCTAACAGAAAATGATTAATTATTGATGAAACTTCCTAAATATAGGTTAGCAGTGGCCTGAATCATCCTGAAGAACCAATGATGCAAAATCATTTGTATTCGATTTGGGAACCTATTCTGTGACTATCTCTGCTGTATATTTGTTTTCCATCTTAGTTCTCCCCTAGGCGTATATGGAAATTAGTTTATATTTCTTGAGCACATTGAGTACCTCCTGGGAGAAGTGGCCCAGGGGCCCAGGGGCGAGAAAGTGGATCAGCATTTCAAATAGGTCACAGGTAATCCACAAAGCAAACACCGAACCTGTTGTGAGCCCCAAATGGAACATGTTTACCTCCTTGGTGCTGATAATCCCCTGTACGCCTAAGCTGCCCAGTGCCTCCTGCAACCAACAGCTTATAACATGGATTGGAAATTCACCTGAGAAAGCTAACGGTGTTGGAAGAAACCCTGCCTGCCTCCTAAGATTTCTGGAGAGGGCAGAAGAGATGGTCAGACAATTTCTCCTCCTTCTCACACTCCTTTTCCTGTGCCCCGAGAGAAAACGGTTTGGCTGACGTCACCTCGTTTATCCTCACACCTCTCACCTACTTCCCCAACCATGGGAGGCTAGTGGAATTTGCTTTTTGGTGTGTATGACCTGCTGGCTATCACGTTTAATGTAGAGATAAGCATGCCTGTTTGGTCAGGTAAAAAACAAAAAACAAACTTGCATATGTGCCCCAGGAACTTAGAACCTGTAAAGGGAAAATGTAGAAAAAGAAACCCTTTATAACTGTGGGTCTGCAGTGAAGAGTATGACTAGAGGGTGAGAGTTGCACTCACCGAGAACTCAATGCTCTAGTCCTCTAGGCAGAACCTGAGTTGGGGTATCTGAGCACAGAGCAAGGGGTGCCCCCCCAGAGGTCCTAGCACAGTGGTCGGCAAACTGCGGCTCGCGAGCCACATGTGGCTCTTTGGCCCCTTGAGTGTGGCTCTTCCTAAGCCTTAGGAGTAGCCTAATTAAGTTAATAATAATTTACCTACCTATACAGTTTAAGTTTAAAAAATTTGGCTCTCAAAAGAAATTTCAATCATTGTACTGTTGATATTTGTCTCTGTTGACTAATGCGTTTGCCGACCACTGTCCTAGCAGAAGGTAGGAGGTGTACCGCCTGGGGACAAGGCATGCGAATCCAGTGCCTCTAGGTGAGGAGACAGGGAGAAACACTGCCACTCCTTACCAGGTCTGAACCTATTTAGCAACAAGAGATCCTTCTGACAGGCTCAGGAGATGGGCAGCACACCCGAGACACTGGCCATGGAAGAGAGGGCACACACATGTGGACAAGCGGTTTCCTCTGGCAAAGTGACCAGCCTGACAGGGTCAGGGGAACAGAATGGCACTGGAGCACCATATGACAGTGCTCCTGGAAAGGGAAAGCCTCAAGTCTAGAGAAGCAATCTCCCTGGTTGGTCGGAGGAATAGAAATAATACCAGCTCCCAATTACTGAGGTCTTTTACGTACAAGTCCACCTAGCGAGCGTTCAGCAGGTGCCGGGGCCATGACGTAGGGGTGGGTGATAATCAGGTGCTTTCAAATTAAAATAGGAGGAGATTCTTCTCTTCTAAATTGTCTTTATTTGCTATTTTTTAAAACTAAAAGTGTAAAATAAATATGTTTAAACATGCGAGCAAATATAATACAAAGATGCAAAAAGGCCAAGCTAATCATTCCATCCCTGCCCAACTCCTGGTTCCCTGAGATCATTATTTCCAAAACAGCCTGACACTTCTCCTTCCACATCTTACTCCTCACAAACATACATTCACATATAGACACTTTGTGTTGAATTTTTTTTTGCCTGAAATAGAATCACACTCTCATTTTCTTTTAACGTGACCACACGCATCTCTGCACACCAGTAGTGAGAGATCTAATTTTGTATTTGTTTCTGGGTAACATCAGGGAGATGAGTTTGGGGGCCCAACTGGACTCTCCACTAGGTCCTGATCATTCAGGTGTCATTAAATGACTCTTTCCCACCTTAATACATGTGTCATTGGTATAAAGAAAAATTAAAGTCATGTTTTTCTGTCCATATCCTTGAGACGTTTACTTCACTTGCCACAACATTAGTTCATTCTATGGGACGGTCTCCAATTCATTTACAAAGAAGACTAAATCCCCAAAAGACTTTCCCTGCTTTGAACTTTCAAAACATTAAAACACACACACACACACACACACACACACACACACACACACACACACACACACAAACTCATTCATTCCCTCTGGGTTGCAAATGATGGATAAGGCAACCCTATCTTAAGGACTGTAGCGTTTGAGTAACTCCCAACAATGAAGTCCCACTTATGCAGTTCTGGGACTCAGCCAGCCCGGAGTGAATGGTGGGCTGAGACAGGGTGGCGAGTTGTCTTACAGTCCCTGGAACCACACAAATCCAGATGACTACGTGCAAACGAATATTCTTGCTTTTATTTGGGCCAATTATGTAACCCTTGCACATTTACTGAATTTGTAAATTTAAGTTATAGTTGGAAAGAATGCGCTTTTGGTCTGTGGAAAATATTCCCATTTAAAAATCAAAACATCACAATATGTATATGCATATAGGTATGTATGTTTAATGGCATTTAAATACCATAGCAATTTGATACTCATGATTATCTCTTTCAACATTCATAAATGAGTTCTTTCTTGACAATCATAAAATATGCACCATTCCTTTTTAAAATGTAAACTTGCGTTTCCATTATGTGTCTTCTGTAAGATTTTATCCTGATATATTGTATGCTTGAAAATCTCTTATTGATCAGCTATCATATTTACATATAAATTTAAATTTCCTTTGTGTTCAGTGACCATAAAGCTCTGAGTAATAATATTTTCTTTTAGAATGAGTTATCAATACGAGGATAATATTGATAAAACAACATAAATATATTGTACATGCTGTTAAGTAATAATTAAAGCTAATGAGTGAGCTTTTACTGGAAATATAGCTCTTAGTAGGATTGATGAGGCTTTTAAAAATTATACCCTGGATAAATATCAGTACTGCTAGAATGAGATAGAGCTAAGGATCAATTCTATTCCTTTTTTTTTTTTTTTTTTTTTTTTTTTTGCTTTAAAAGGAACCTAGTTCACATCGGCAAGGATATGGAAATGAAAATCCTGTAGAGAAATGTCACTCAATTCTTTGAACCTTTTCCAAAACATATGCCAAAAATCACAGAGTAATATAGCTTCAAAAATTATTTTAATGATCGCACAGCTGACAATTCAATTAGTTCCTCTTTCAATTTCTTTTAAAGCAATGAATTGGAAAATACCTGACTTGCAAAGGGCTTTGTAACTCAGTATTAAATTCATTCCATTTCTCAATATCTAGACAGTAGACTGCTAATATTTTACCAGGCTTTATCAAATGACTATTAAAGGGAGAAAGTAAAGAAAAATCCTCCCCTGGACAATTACTAAAGTGGAAGCAGCCAGAAAGGAGAATTAGAATTACAATGCAATCTCAGGCACTTTCTCGGGGCCGATTTGGGGAAATTTGAGAGCTTGAAATGTATCATTTTAAACCTACCATGCCCTTGTACAACCTACAACTGCAGGTTGAGGCGTATGCAGCCAGTTTAAAGATGCCTCTCAGGGGCTGACTTTGAAACAGTCAATCCAAATCTACCTTCCTGGGCCAGAACATGTTCTCATGCCTGGCCACACAGCCTGTGGAAAGCCCCTAGGGTAGGGCCAGACATACCCCAAACGGGTGACCAGGGACCAATTTAGCTGCTCTCAAACCTGGGCCTCATTAGCGGGCCTGGAAGGCAAATAGAGGGAGTAACTGGATAAAAGCCATCTCTCAAATGGGGCAGAGCTGAATCACCAAGTCCACACAGCCCTAGCGCCTGAGGAATGACAAAGAGACTTGGCACCATGAGGATGTTGGTTGAGGACAGCTGTTTTCCTCACAGTGTTTCTGTGCTTCAGAAGGAGGAGGAGCATCCATGCTTCTTGCTTTCTTTCCTCATAACAGGGCTCTCTTACTGTCCTCTGAACAAAATATGTGTTTAATAAATATGGCTCCTTCCCTGCTGTTTATGGGGATGTCCTGGACCCTCATTAGCAACAAGCGCATGGAGAATTTTTGATGTTAAATAAGGGGGCCCAAGAGGAAAGTTAAGAACATTAATATAAACTTTCAGATGTCTTGGAAACTCTTTCAAGCATTTAAAATGTTTACATTCCAAGCTGAAGCTTCCTACTGGTCCTTGATAAGACCATTTTTTATAACTCTATCACAAGAAATGTCTAAAATTATATAGCGCTTATTCTGTGCCTGGCACAACTTTAAAACTTTCCATGTATTAAATCATTTGATCTATCCACATTTTACAGATGAGGAAATGGAAACACAGAGAGATTCAGGATTCCTAACCCCCACAGCTAGTACTATCAGAGTGGGATCTCAAACTTAGGCAGCCTGGCACTAGAGTTTCTGAGGGCTGTGATATTCTCCTAATAAAGAAAGTGCTTGTGAAAACCACAAAAGACCAGGAATAGCCAATAAATCTTAACAAAGAAGAACAAAGTTGGAGGTCTCATTGCTACCCAATATCAAACTATACTGCAAAGCTCTAATAATCAAAACAACATGGTACTGGCATAACACCAAATTAATAGACACATAGGTCAATGGAATGGAATAGAGAGCGCAGAAATAAACTCATGCCTATCTACTCAATTAATCTATGACAAAGGAGGCAAGAGCATGCAATGGAATAAAGACAGTCTGTTCAATAAATGATGTTAGGA